TAGAGCTAAAACTTTTCCCTATTAAAAAGGCGTAGAGCCCCCTTTTTATTGAAACGTGCTTCTTTTTAGTCTGGCTTTTGCTAGTTTTCTAAACCCAGGCCCCTCGTGAAGGAAAAGTGCTCTTGCATTAAAGATGGCGATAAATACAAGGTGGATGGGCCTTCCCGCCATCTTCTTTAAAGGGCCCCAAGGGTCCTCGTACAGCATGTCCATTTTTAGCCAAAGGGGCGTCCCCTAAATTTTTCTTGCTCACTTCCCGATTGCGAGGGGAGAAAAGGTTTCCCCTCATCCCAATCCTTAGAGAATGCTCACAAAGACACATCTAAATTTTTAAAAATTTTTGGTGAAATCTTTTAAAGGCCCCCTGGGTTTGGGTCTATAAGCTGTAGAGGTAAGGGTCAAATCCCCGAGTCTAGATAATACTTCTCGGAACCTTTGGAAGTAAAATTAGAGCCTTGTTCTGTTTAAAATTTCCCCAAAGAACCCTACCGGGGAAAAGAATAAATTAGAGCCTTATATAGCTCGACATTTATTTTTTTTAAAGGGGAACAGCTTCAGGATACTGGTGCAGCATCTTTTATGTCAAAGGTTTTGATTCCCAAAACCTGGTTTTGGAAGGGGCCCTCACAATGATTATCAAGAGAAAAAGGTTCCCCTTTACTGCAATAGGAATGGGGGGAGCAGGTGGGGGTTTTGTCTGTGCGGGTTTCCTATTTTCTGGAAAATGGGGGCATTTCGAAGGTACTCTACCCCCGTCTCTTTCATTTGGGGCCAGAAAAAATATTGAACAACTTTTCTCAGTGTTTTCTGTATCCCCAGATGTCCACCCATTGGCTATTAGGGCCCTTCCCAAGCCGGTTCGGAATTTTCCCGGTAAAACCATACCTGTTTCGTAGCCTAAATTAATACCTGGGGAGTTTGTAGGAATTTTCCTATAAAAAGGGCCCTTAAATTTAATAAAGCAAATCTTTTACTCTGCCGCCTCAGTTTCATAAGGCTAGCCCTCTTATCCCTCCAAGAAGAGTTTTCCCGCTTTCTGGACAAATTTTCTTGTTAAAATCTTTAATCCAAGGCCGTTAGATCGTGTACAAATTTTTTTTGGTAACTTTTCTTCAGCTTCTGGCATGTGAGAAATCACAAACAATCCCCGGGCCCCAATACAGGGATTATTTAAAAAGACGAAGGGAGGGAATGGGACTTTGCCATGGCTCTCGTAACTTGGCGGGGAAAAAAAAGGGCCCCCTCCTTGACGCCTAAAGGGGCAAATTTTCAGAGGTATTCTCTTGACGGAGGTTCTTTACGATCCCCCCGGGCCCCAATCGTTTCCACAAGTAGGTCTACTGCCCTAATGGGGAATTCTGTTTCGATATAACCTACCACCGATATCCTCAAAAGGGAACCTTTTTTTCAAGTATATTTTGAGGGGAACCCCAGACCGGTCCCCCCATACCCTCTAAAAGAACTATCTTGGATGGTCGGTCATTCAAAGAGAGAACACCTTCCCCCAACAAAGTTTGTAGCTCCGGTGTCTCTATAAGACTTTACTTAACGGTTGGGATTTGGGATTTTCCCGGCCTACCGATAGAAAAATAAGGATCATTGCCTCACTTTCTTTCTTTTTGGACATGATTGAGGGGGTCAGTCATTAGAAGTGGGAACCTTTTTGGACCGGCTGAATCTTGCTCAATCCATGGGCCCCGGGGCCCCGGGGGCCTGGGGAGTCATTGTACGGGAAAAACCCCATCTAGAAATCTATTTTTCAGTTCTTCTAGCTTGAAACAGGGCTTCTCACATGCCCTTTCTTTGACGTAGGAGCAGATAGGTTTCTTCCCCGCTTTATTCCCCCCCAGGTGGGGCTTTGTATCGAAATGTTCCCCGCATTGGTTTTAAGAACGGGGTAAGGGCCACCTAGGGGGGGTAATTTTTGACGGATCTCTTCCTTTGGCCGGGACGCCAATCCCCCGGGGTGTTCTCCTTTCTTTTTGAGGGGATTTTATCTCCCCTTAAATGAAGGAGATTTCGTAATGATCAGCGAGCGGGTGGAAGATTAAGAATCCAAAATCTGGTTCAATTAAAAAAATTACCAAGTCTCCCGACAGAGCATTATTAAATCTTTTTGGTAAAATTAACTGAGTTAAGCTTTCCCCAGGTCACAGCCCGAGGCCCTTAACCACTTTTTCCAGGGCCCTTCTTTTAAGGGCAAAGTCTACCCAGTTTTCCCGGGTAGCCGTTGAGGGTACGGAAAGTCCTTGGTAGCTCAAGGGAGCAAGTCTAAGTTTCCAAAATTACTTTTTTAACGACCTCATAATTTACTATTATTTTAAAGGCAGAGAGCGTATATTTTTGAGCCTTCCTTAATGTTGTGTGCAATAGGGGGCCCAATATTCCTTGGCCTTTTCATCCCCTTGCCTGGTTCTCAAAAGGGGTTTAAAATTTTGGGGTCAAAGGGCCGCTTCATGAACCCAGGCATGATGCTGCCTTAGTAAAAAAAAGGAGAGGTTTGGGGAAAACCCTCAGTCTCACGTCTCTCTCCACTTTTTTGTCTTTTAAAAAGGGGTTTTCTCTCTTCAAATTTTTTTCATACAGTTTTCGCTGTGTTCAAATGAGCCGTTTTGCAATTTAGAGTGCATCATTTTTCTTAAAATGTCCCCGAGAGGGGGTCAAGGGGTTGGTGGAGACCCGGGGGAAGAAAAAGTTTCCCGTGTATCTTGGGCCATCTGCTCCTCGCCACAAACATAGTTCGGGACCGGCTATTTGAAACCCCTGCTTTTTTTCCCTTTTTAGGGGGAAAAATTTTTTTTTTTCACATTTCCTCAGCCCTGGCATTGACATACTCTCAGAACAAGGAAAGGAAAGGGAAACCCGGGTCCCAAAGCCAGAGTTTTTCACAGGTCCGCGGGGTTAGCTTTTACCCGAACAACCCAGAAAAAACCCAAAGGATGGGGAAAAGAAACCAAAAGACCGAAGGGTTTTTGGGAAACGGAACACACCCAAAGGGGACCGAGACCGCAGCAAACTCAAACCAAAAGAAACGAACCAGGGAGTGAAAATTTCCGGGAAAAAAAGGGAAGGACAGGCCCCCCCGAGGCGAATCAGGGCCCGGGTTTTGTCCCCCCCAACAAAAACCAAATTTAAGAACCCCAAAACCCCTAGAAAAAAGGCACAAAAAGGGTTACTCAGATTTTTGGGTTTTATTTTAAAAATTTTTTGGATCTTAATTATTTTTTATGAGTTTTTAATTTGCCACAATTTTTGGGGTCAATGGTTTAAAAAAATTTCACTTTTTGTTTTGGCACTCAGAAAAATTTAGAGGTAGGGGAAATTTTTAAAATAAAATTCTTTAATAGACCGAAAATTCCCGGGGGTATTTAAGGGGTTTAAAACATCACCCCTTTAAAATCTTTGCTTCCCCCCACCCAAAAAATTTTTAAACTCCATTCAAGTTTCTAACAGTTCTTAAGTTCCAGGGAAATATAAACCAAACGGTTCACCCCGAGAAGATTTTTTAGGTCAATCCCCTTTTTCCGTTTGGGGGAGGGGTTAAGGGTGCCACCCCACCCAAAATCCTTGAACACATTAAAATTCAAGGAAAATAACAAAATAATTAACCCCATTTCCCCGGGTTTTATTTAAAAAAAAATTTTCTTGGGAAACTTTTAAATTTTTTATTAAAAAAAATTAATAAATTTGGGTTTTAAATAAATTAAAACACAAAGGGGTAAAAATAAACAGCAAACCCAGAAAACCCCCCACCAACACACACACCCAAAAAACCCCCAAATAAAACCAAACCCCTCAATAATAAATTCTTTAATAATTTTTGTTTTTTTATTAAAAGACTTTCACTGGTGGGGGCATTTTCCTTGTTGCTTTACAATACCCTTCCCTTTTTCACCCGATACTTTAATATCGATATACTTTTTTGTTTTCAAGAAATTTTCAACTCGGGGAGTTTCCCTATTGGGATTCTTTCATTGGGGTTTTTTCCAGTAAAACCCGGGAGACGGGTGGTTTTTGGCCAAACGGGGGTTAGCCATAAGGGGGGTCTGGACGGACCGTCCCTTTTTCCCTTCTAACATCAACTCGTAAAGGGGGAGAGTTTTTAAAGCGGGGGCGAAACCCACCACCATATGTTGTTAATTTTCCCCATAACTCAAGATATAAGTTATAAATTAAATCAACCTTTTTATTTACCCCGGATTTCCCTAAACCAATATTTAAACAGGATCCCCAACTTCCCCTTCAACCCAAGTTTTATATAAAGGGATAAACAAAAATTTAAATTATTTTTTTTACCCCCAAAGGGGGGGTAAAAAAAAAGCCCCCCAAAAAACCCCAAAAAAAAAAAAAACCCCAAAAACCAACACACACACACAAAAACACACATGCACATCACATCTTCTTGATAATCAACTTTATGTTCTTTTTATCTGTAATTTCAGATCTTTATCATTTTTGTGGTGGGTCTGAGGGCGTCTCAATGTCCAGTTGGGACGTTTAACAGACTATCCGTTCTTATATCGCCAGATGCTTTTAAAAATCATGGTCGCAGATACTTTTCTTGGAAATTGTCGGTTTGGAAGTATCTATATCATTGTCAAAATTCAGTCAGCATTGAGTTGACCATATGATTGCTTTAACACTGGAAAATATTTCATTTCATGCTGAACCAGCGGCAATGTCGGTGGCTTCTTGAGACCGGAAATGGCATTTATGTCCATGAAGGCGGTGCATGAAAGGGGCAGGTACCGCCTCCTGTTCTACACTTCTAATTCTTATCAATCTTTTTGTAACAGGGGGTTATTCTTGTAGTATTTCTTCACCAAAACTGCGGCGTAAGTTCACTACCACCATTATATAGTTTAATGCTCATCATGGAGGCGTAAGGAGAGTGCAGTGGAAGTTCATAAAACTCAGTACAATACGACCGTGCCCTTTTGGGAAATGGAAGGCCCGCGAAGTAGCTCGTCGCTGCGACAGATTTAACATACTTTACCGAAATGTGCGGAGGAGTCCACGAACGATGGTCCCGATATCACTCTCGCAATGCTTTGGTGCTCCATGGAGGTGATACAACCAAGGAATTTGACATCCTCATTTCTCTTCACTTACCATCTTGCTGGTGAACTTGGGAGGATACCTAACTAGGTACTACTAGGTACTAGTGGGGTTCGAACCAAAACGTTGAGTCTATACTCTTGGAGCAAATGTGCAACAACTAGGTAGGGAGATACAAGTTTTAACAAACAAAAAAATCTATTTATACACCACAAGAATGTTAGGTACATTATAGGAATAGTGATAAAGCTGTGTTATATAGTGAAGTAAATCATTTTAGTGATAGTGAATCATTTAGTGATAGTCGTGTTTTTATGGAATAGTGCTGTGTTATGTAGTGAAGATAGTGCTGTGTTATGTAGTGAAGATAGTGCTGTGTTGTATAGTGAAGATAGTGCTGTGTTATGTAGTGAAGATAGTGCTGTGTTATGTAGTGAAACATGCTGTTTTTTCAAAAAGTGATTTAAGGTGCTGTGTTATGTAGTGAAGATAGTGTTTGTTATGTAGTGAAGATAGTGCTGTGTTGTATAGTGAAGATAGTGTTTGTGTTATGTAGTGAAGATAGTGCTGTGTTATGTAGTGAATACAGTGCTGTGTTCAAAAGTGATATTAGTGCTGTGTTATGTAGTGAATACAGTGCTGTGTTCAAAAGTGAAAATAAGTTGCTGTGTTATGAGTGAAGAATGCTGTGTTATGTAGTGAAATAGTGCTGTGTTATATAGTGAAGATAGTGCTGTGTTATGTAGTGAAGATAGTGCTGTGTTATATAGTGAAGATAGTGCTGTTGTTATGTAGTGAAGATAGTGCTCTGTTTATGTAGGGGAAGATAGTGCTGTTATATAGTGAAGATAGTGCTGTGTTAAAAGTGAAAATAGTGCTGTGTTATGTAGTGAAGATAGTGCTGTGTTATGTAGTAAAAGATAGTGCTGTGTTATGTAGTGAAGTTTGTGTTGCGTTATATAGTGAAGATAAGTGCTGTGTTATGTAGTGAAGATAGTGGCTGTGTTATATAGTGAAGATAGTGCTGTGTTATATAGTGAAGATAGTGCTGTGTTATGTAGTGAAGATAGTGCTGTGTTAGTAGTGAAGATAGTGCTGTGTTATGTAGTGAAGATAGGGGCTGTGTTATGTAGTGAAGATAGTGCTGTTTTATATAGTGAAGATAGTGCTGTGTTATGTAGTGAAGATAGCACTGTGTTATATAGGAAGAATAGTGCTGTTTTAAATGTAGTGAAGATGTGCTGTGTTATATAGAAGATAGTGCTGTGTTATGTAGTGAAGATAGTGCTGTGTTATATAGTGAAGATAGTGCTGTTTAATTATAGTGAAGATAGTGCTGTGTTATTAGTTGAAATAGTGCTGTGTTATATAGTGAAGATAGTGCTGTGTTATATAGTGAAGATAGTGTTGTGTTATTAGTGAGGATAGTGCTGTGTTATATAGTGAAATAGTGTTGTGTTATATAGTGAGGATAGTGCTGTGTTATATAGTGAAGATAATCTGTGTCAATAGTGAAGATAGGGGCTGTGTTATGTAGTGAAGATATTTGCTGTGTTATATAGTGAGATAGGCTGTGTTATATAGTGAAGATAGTGCTGTGTTATATAGTGAAGATAGGTTTGTGTTATATAGTGAAGATAGTGCTGTGTTATTTTAGTGAAGATAGTGCTGTGTTATATAGTGAAGATAGTGCTGTGTTATGTAGTGAAGATAGTGCTGTGTTATATAGTGAAGATAGGGGCTTTGTTAAAAGTGAAGATAGTGCTGTGTTATATAGTAAAAATAGTGCTGTGTTATGTAGTGAAGATAGTGCTGTGTTATATAGTGAAGATAGTGCTGTGTTATATAGTGAAGTAGTGCTGTGTTATGTAGTGAAGATAGTGCTGTGTTATATAGTGAAGATAGTGCTGTGTTATGTAGTGAAGATAGTGCTGTTTATATAGAAAAGGCAGTGCTGTGTTATGTAGTGAAGATAGCGCTGTTTTATATAGTGAAGATAGTGCGGTTTATGTAGTGAAGATAGTGCTGTGTTATGTAGTGAAGATAGCGCTTGTGTTTATATAGTGAAGATAGTGCTGTGTTATGTGTGAAGATAGTGCTGTGTTTATAGTGAAGTATGCTGTATTATGTAGTGAAGATAGTGCTGTGTTAGTAGTGAACACAGTGCTGTGTTATGTAGTAGAAGATAGTGCTGTGTTATTAGTGAAAAATAGTGCGTGTTATATAGTGAAGATAGTGCTGGTTATATAGTAAGATAGTGCTGTGTTATGTAGTGAAGATAGTGTTGGTTATATAGTGAAGATAGTGCTGTGTTATGTATAAAGGGATAGTGCTGTGTTATATAGTGAAGATAGTGCGTGTTATATAGTACGATAGTGCTGTTTTAAATGTATGAACACAGTGCTGTGTTCAAAAGTGATAGTGCTGTGTTATATAGTGAAGATAGTGCTGTGTTATGTAGTGAAGATAGTGCTGTGTTATATAGTGAAGATAGTTGCTGTGTTATATAGTGAAGATAGGTGCTGTGTTATGTAGTAAAGACAGTGCTGTTTATGTAGTGAAGATAGTGCTGTGTTATATAGTAAAGATAATGCTGTGTTATGTAGTAAAGATAAGTGCTATGTAAGTGAAGATAGTGCGGGTGTTATATAGTGAAATAGAGCTATGTTATGTAGTGAAGATAGTGCTGTGTTAATAGTGAAGATAGTGCTGTGTTATATAGTGAAGATAGTGCTGTGTTATGTATTTGAAGTAGCCTGTGTTATATAGTGAAGATAGTGCTGTGTTAGTGTGAAGATAGTGCTGTGTTATATAGTGAAGATAGTGCTGTGTTATATAGGAAGATAGTGCTGTTATATAGTGAAGATAGTGTTGTGTTATATAGTGAGGATAGTGCTGTGTTATATAGTAAAGATAGTGCTGTGTTTTTAAGTGAAGATAGTGCTGTGTTATGTAGTGAAGATAGTGCTGTGTTATATAGTGAGGATAGTGCTGTTATATAGTGAAGATAGTGCTGTGTTATATAGTGAAGATAGTGCTGTGTTATGTAGTGAAGATAGTGCTGTGTTATATAGTGAAGATAGTGCTGTGTTATATAGAGAAGATAGTGCTGTTTTTATGTAGTGAAGATAGGCTGTGTTATATGTGAAAAATAGTGCTGTGTTATGTAGTGAAGATAGTGTTGTGTTATATAGTGAAGATAGGGGCTGTGTTATGTAGTGAAGATAGTGTTGTTTTTATGTATGAAGATAGTGCGTGTAGGGTAGTGAAGATAGTGTTGTGTTAGTAGTGAAGAATAGTGCTGTGTTATAAAGTGAAGATAGTGCTGTGTTATGAGTGAAGATAGTCTGTGTTATATAGTGAGGATAGTGCTGTTTATATAGTGAAATAGTGTTGTGTTATATAGTGAAGATAGTGCTGTGTTATGTAGTGAAGATAGTGCTGTGTTATATAGTGAAGATAGTGCTGTGTTATATAGTGAAGATAGTGCTGTGTTATGTGTGAAGATAGCGCTGTTTTATATAGTGAAGATAGTGCTGTGTTATGTAGTGAATAGTGTTGTGTTATATAGTGAAGATAGTGCTGTGTTATGTAGTGAAGATAGTGTTTGTGTTATATAGGTTGAAGATAGTGCTGTGTTATGTAGTAAAGATAGTGTTGTGTTATGTAGTGAAGATAGTGCTGTGTTATAAAGTGAAGATAGTGCTGTGTTTATTAGTGAAGATAGTGCTGTGTTTTTAAGTGAAGATAGTGCTGTGTTATGTAGTGAAGATAGTGCTGTGTTATGTAGTGAAGATAGTCCTCTTTTAAATAGTGAAATTAGTGCTGTTTTAAATTGTGAAACAGCGCTGTGTTCAAAGTGAATAGTGCTGTGTTATATAGTGAAGATAGTGCTGTGTTATGTAGTGAAGATAGTGCTCTGTTCAGTGATATTAGTGCTGTGTTATGTGAACACAGCGCTGTGTTCAAAAGTGATATTAGTGCTGTGTTATATAGTGAAGATAGTGCTGTGTTTTGTAGTGAAGATAGTGCTGTGTTATATAGTGAAGATAGTGCTGTGTTATGTAGTAAAGACAGTGCTGTGTTATGTAGTGAAGATAGTGCTGTGCTATATAGTAAAGATAGTGCTGTGTTATGTAGTGAAGATAGTGCTATGTAGTGAAGATAGTGCTGTGTTATATAGTGAATATAGAGCTATGTTATGTAGTGAAGATTGTGCTGTGTTATGTAGTGAAGATTGTGCTTGTTATGTAGTGAAGATAGTGCTGTGTTATAATATGAAGAGCATCATTTAGTGATAGTCGTGTTATATAATGAAGATAGTGCTGTGTTATGTAGTGAAGATAGTGCTGTGTTATGTACTGAAGATAGTGCTGTGCTATGTAGTGAAGATAGTGCTGTGCTATGTAGTGAAGATTGTGCTGTGTTATGTATTGAAGATAGTGCTGTGTTATGTAGTGAAGATAGCGCTGTGTTATATAGTGAAGATAGTGTTGTGTTATATAGTGAAGATAGTGCTGTGTTATGTAGTGAAGATAGCGCTGTGTTATATAGTGAAGATAGTGTTGTGTTATATAGTGAAGATAGTGTTGTGTTATATAGTGAAGATAGTGCTGTGTTATATAGTGAAGATAGTGCTGTGTTATATAGTGAAGATAGTGCTGTGTTATGTAGTGAAGATAGTGCTGTTTTTATATAGTGAAGATAGTGTTGTGTTATGTAGTGAAGATAGTGGCTGTGTTATATAGTGAAGATAGTGTTTGTGTTATATAGTGAAGATAGTGCTGTGTTATATAAGTGAAGATAGTGCTGTTTTGTAGTAAAGATAGTGCTGTGCAAAGTAGTGAAGATAGTGCTGTGTTATGTAGTGAAGTAGTGCGTGCTATGTACTAAAGATAGTGCTGTGCTATGTATTGAAGATAGTGCTGTGTTATTAGTGAAGATAGAGCTGTGTTATGTAGTGAAGATAGTGCTGTGCTATGTAGTGAAGATAGTGCTGTGTTATGTAT